TTGAAATGGCAGCGATGGTTCCACCGGATGTTGTCGAGCCTCTGATCCGAACCCTTGCAAATCATTTCATCACTGATGGAAGGTGAGAGGAGGAGAAGGAGGAGGAGGAGGAGGAAGAGGATAAGGAGTAGTAAGAGGAGGAGGAGGAGACTAAACGAATGATCATGACGATGATGATATACAGGCAAGATGAAGTGATCGCCATTGGTCTCAACACTGCGCGTGAAATCTGCATGCGACAAGTAGGAGGAGGAAGAGGAGAGGAGGAAGATACGAAAGAAGGGAGGCGAAGGGAGGGTTTGAGTGGAGGAGGAGGAGGAGGAGGAGGAGGAGGAGGAGGAGGAGGAGGAGGAGGAGGAGGTAGTTTGTGACTTGATGCTCGATAGCCGCATGCTATGGATGCGGATCTGCTCCAAGACTTGGTAGCATACAAGAAGCACAAAGACAAGGTGCAATGAGGAACCGGTCGCCTTCAGTCTGTTGACAAAGATCGCAGGGAGTCGTGATGGCCGCCCGATCGCTGCTGTCACTGTACAGGTAGAAAGTGATGTGAGTTGGTCAGGTCGTCTGATATGTCACCAAGACATCTTGACTCTGAGATGTTGGCCAAGAAAGACAGGTAGAGGCTGCAAGTGCTGTGTGTTGTGATAACGTTGTGGAAGGGGGAAAGTTCGAGATCTCAACAAGAAGACTGAATACGGAAGACAAGTACGAACAAAAGAATACGATGATGATGATGATGACGATGATGATGACGATGACGATGACGATGACGACGACGATGACGATGACGATGACGATGACGATGACGATGACGATGATGATGATGATGATGATGCTGATGCTGATGACAATTGAAATGGAGATGAGGAGGAGGAGGATGAAAACTCATCTCAACGTGTTTCCAGAAAGTCAGTGAAGGAGTGGAAGGACTGGAACTTTTAGATGAAGAGTCAGACACTGACAGCGAGGAGGTGATTTCACCCTTCTCCTCTTCCTCTTCACCATGCAACCGCTTAACTTCCATCCTGCTTCTCCCCTCTCTCCTCCCCTCTCTCCTTCCCTCTCTCCTCCCCTCTCACCTCCCCTCTATCCTTCCCTCTCTCCTCCCCTCTCTCCTCCCTTCTCTCCTCCCCTCTCTTCTCCCCTCTCTCCTTCCCTCTCTCCTCCCCTCTCACCTCACTCCTCTTCGCTTCTTACGTCTCCTATGCTCCTCGCCTTACAACCTTTTGCTTTCTTCCTCCTCATGTACCGGCTCAGAGCTCTTCGGAGGAAGAAGAGGGCGGCAAGAAAGTCAAGTTCGGAGGAGCAGAGACGCGGGAGATGATGGACGAGAGCGACGAGGTGCTTGCCCCCTGCTGTTCTCCTCCCATGACCACATCGCAGGAGGAGGCAGGGGAGGACGAAGAGGACGAAGAGGAAGGGGAGGAGGAGGAAGGGGAGGAGGAGGAAGACGATGAGGAAGGTGAGGGGATCAGCGGAGAAGAGATGCCCTTCGAGAAAGGTGAGAGCAAGTGTGAGGAGGGAGGAGGGAGGAGGGAGGAGGGAGGAGGGAGGAGGGAGGAGGGAGGAGGGAGGAGGGAGGAGGGAGGAGGGAGGAGGGAGGAGGGAGGAGGGAGG